CTCCCTCCTCCACTCACAGTAAACTATCTCCTCCCCCCTCCACTCACAGTAGACTATCACCTCCCCCCCTCCACTCACAGTAAACTATCTCCTCCCCCCCTCCACTCACATTAAACTATCTCCTCCCCCCTCCACTCACAGTAGACTATCTCCTCCCCCCCTCCACTCACAGTAGACTATCTCCTCCCCCCCTCCACTCACAGTAGACTATCACCTCCCCCCCCCCCCTCCACTCACAGTAGACTATCACCTCCCCCCCCCCCTCGACTCACAGTAAACTATCTCCCAATAATTACACTATCACCAATTTTCTCCTAAAAGAACTTCAGAATAGCTGCTTTAAAAGTCAATAAACGCTACCCATTTCCAGTTCCTGCCTCTCCCACCCGTCCCATCCCACCCGTCCCATCTCTCCCGTCCCATCTCTCCCGTCCCATCCAATCTCTCTTCAGCCCCGTAATTCCAAAAATCTATAACATGCCATCATCGCATTTTTTGTGTTCCTATTTGCAGCCATTAAAATCTACATGAAATACATTTTTTTCAACAACAATTTTTGTTTAATTTCTCCATAAATGTGACAGTATCGCCGTGGAAATTATCCCCGGGACGAGTGGGGCCAATTTGACGCCAGGACAGTTTCAACAGAACAAGAGATAAAGAAAAGAAAACCTGCCGTCAACATAATGGATCGGCAGAGTATAACCATTTTCTTGTGAGTGAAAACAGTCACGGGAGAGAGGAGGGAAGGAAGAGAAGGAGGGAGTGGGACAGGAGGGGATGGGGGAGTGGGATAGGAGGGGATAGGAGAGTGGGAGAGAGGGAGTGAGTGGGATAGGAGAGAACGGATGGAGAAGAGCATTTACTGCTGTTACCTAGCAGTAAAATAGGTACCTGGGAGTTAGTCAGCTGTCACGGGCTGCTTCCTGGGGGTGGAGGCCTGGTCGAGGACCGGGCCGCGGGGACACTAAAGCCCCGAAATCATCTCAAGATAACCTCAAGATCTCAAGATAGCAACATAAGAAAGGAAAAGGAGGGAAATGAAAGACGGGAGGAAGGAAGATGGAAGAGGAAAGGAAGAGGAAAGGAAGAGGATAAAGTGTGACAGAGCGTGAGATAAACGACTGTTTATCAAGTGCATGAATGTTTTAGCGAAGTGTCCAAAATTTGCTTACTGTAGGTAATGCATGCACATGACTGTAAAGCTGCCGCCCAGTTGGGTGGGTGTGGAGCACATGACTGTAAAGCTGCCGCCCAGTTGGGTGGGTGTGGAGCACATGACTGTAAAGCTGCCGCCCAGTTGGGTGGGTGTGGAGCACATGACTGTAAAGCTGCCGCCCAGTTGGGTGGGTGTGGAGCACATGACTGTAAAGCTGCCGCCCAGTTGGGTGGGTGTACAGCAAGACTAGTAACTATGTGACTCACTATAGATGTAAAGTGCCTTGTATAGTGACTGTTGTGAGCCTCTTGTAATGTCTCTTGTGACACAAAGATTATTGATGTGTGTATTTGTGTGGGTGATTAGATATGTATATGTATGTATATGTGTATACGTATATATATATGTACATGTATGTATAAGGGTGTGTACATGTGTATACAACATTGATAATTTTGTAACTAGCGTCAAACATTGTTATTTGCTTAGCTAAACGAACTAGAGGGTTCAGTTCCTGAACCGATTATGTGCCTCTGTAATCCTTTACACCACCGCCCACGGGATGGGTATGGGGTGCATAATAAAGACAGAAATTGAATTGAGTGTAATAGGATGGCGGTAGTGGTGAGGAGGAGGGGGGTGGATAGGGGGGGGGTGGATAGGGGGGGTGGATAGGGGGGGGGACAAGGGGGAGAGGCGATAAGGATGGACACAGAGATTGAGGTGAAGGAGCAGGAGAAGAGGGTCATCAACACCAACAAATGACGTCCCAGGATTCATTAATACACTATTAAGACCGCCCCCCCCCACCTGTACCTCTGTAATTGTCGCCGTAGACAATTAAATTGTTCAATTACAATTCAATTGTAATTGAACAACCGCGGACCGCTGATGTTTACACAGTGTTCTCTGATTGTGGCTATGGCACCTCTGCTCTTCACTCCTAGTTGCACCCTACTTAACCAGTCAAGCAATACCTCACACAAAGAACCTGACTAATCTAATGTATGTTACGGGGCTATTCGTGCCCGTGCCACCTCTTGGCTGGCTTAATCTTCATCAATATAATCTGTATGGCGACTACACGACCCAACTACCCCTGCCGGCCCTGACGCGGACTTGCAACCGCCCTGAGCTAAACCACAGAAGGAACTCCAGGTTACAATCCTTTTTCCGGATCAGCCGGGCTGTGGTGGGTACGTGGCCCTGCGGGCCGCTCCAAGCAACAGCCTGGTGGACCAAACTCTCACAAGTCAAGCCTGGCCTCGGGCCGCTCCAAGCAACAGCCTGGTGGACCAAACTCTCACAAGTCAAGCCTGGCCTCGGGCCGCTCCAAGCAACAGCCTGGTGGACCAAACTCTCACAAGTCGAGCCTGGCCTCGGGCCGCTCCAAGCAACAGCCTGGTGGACCAACTCTCACAAGTCAAGCCTGGCCTCGGGCCGCTCCAAGCAACAGCCTGGTGGACCAAACTCTCACAAGTCGAGCCTGGCCTCGGGCCGCTCCAAGCAACAGCCTGGTGGACCAAACTCTCACAAGTCAAGCCTGGCCTCGGGCCGCTCCAAGCAACAGCCTGGTGGACCAAACTCTCACAAGTCAAGCCTAGCCTCGGGCCGCTCCAAGCAACAGCCTGGTGGACCAAACTCTCACAAGTCGAGCCTGGCCTCGGGCCGCTCCAAGCAACAGCCTGGTGGACCAACTCTCACAAGTCAAGCCTAGCCTCGGGCCGCTCCAAGCAACAGCCTGGTGGACCAAACTCTAACAAGTCGAGCCTGGCCTCGGGCCGCTCCAAGCAACAGCCTGGTGGACCAAACTCTCACAAGTCAAGCCTGGCCTCGGGCCGCTCCAAGCAACAGCCTGGTGGACCAAACTCTCACAAGTCAAGCCTGGCCTCGGGCCGCTCCAAGCAACAACCTGGTGGACCAAACTCTCACAAGTCAAGCCTGGCCTCGGGCCGCTCCAAGCAACAGCCTGGTGGACCAAACTCTCACAAGTCAAGCCTGGCCTCGGGCCGCTCCAAGCAACAGCCTGGTGGACCAAACTCTCACAAGTCAAGCCTGGCGTCGGGCCGCTCCAAGCAACAGCCTGGTGGACCAAACTCTCACAAGTCAAGCCTGGCCTCGGGCCGCTCCAAGCAACAGCCTGGTGGACCAAACTCTCACAAGTCAAGCCTGGCCTCGGGCCGCTCCAAGCAACAGCCTGGTGGACCAAACTCTCACAAGTCGAGCCTGGCCTCGGGCCGCTCCAAGCAACAGCCTGGTGGACCAAACTCTCACAAGTCAAGCCTGGCCTCGGGCCGCTCCAAGCAACAGCCTGGTGGACCAAACTCTCACAAGTCGAGCCTGGCCTCGGGCCGGGCTTGGGGAGTAGAAGAACGCCCAGAACCCCATCAACCAGGTATCAACCAGGTTTTACCATGTCGTGGTCTGGTTGTCTGGGACGTGTGTGTGCCTGGGAACACCCCCCACATAGGTTCGAACCCTCATGATGGCTCCTCCGGATTTTATCACTGACGCATCACCTGGGAACACCCCCACATAGGTTCGAACCCTCATGATGGCTCCTCCGGATTTTATCACTGACGCATCACCTGGGAACACCCCCACATAGGTTCGAACCCTCATGATGGCTCCTCCGGATTTTATCACTGATGCATCACGTTAGTGTGATTACTCTGTGAAATAAAAATCATGTAATGCCGAACAAAATACTTCAAAAAGAGTAATTTAAACTCAGAACTGCTGGCTTTAATGTGAACTTGATCACCACAGGGCTCCTGCTTTTATGGGGGCAAAGGTCATAGCCAACTGGGGTCCCTAGTCATGCTAGGGTCCCTAGTCATGTTAGGGTCCCTAGTCACGTTAGGGTCCCTAGTCATGCTAGGGTCCCTAGTCATGTTAGGGTCCCTAGTCACGTTAGGGTCCCTAGTCATGCTAGGGACCCAGGGTCCCTAGTCATGCTCCCTAGTCCTCACATGGGACCTCTGAATGTGATGATGTAGCCATTAGAGGGAACATACAACGAGATTATACATATCAACATCCCAGTTGACCAGACCACACACTAGAAGGTAAAGGGACGACGACGTTTCGGTCCGTCCTGGACCATTCTCACAATCGACTTGAGAATGGTCCAAGACGGACCGAAACGTCGTCGTCCCTTCACCTTCTAGTGTGTGGTCTAGTCAACTTACTTTAGCCACGTTATTGTGACTCACCGCCCGCATCAACACCCCAGTCTGGACCAGTCAACTGCAAACAACTGCAAAAAAGGAGCTGTAGACAGTTTCTACATTCCCCTCAGCTCTCTCTAACACACCAGCAATCAGCTGGCGACCAGAGATACCTGGAGTTTACCTGGAGAGGGTCTCGGGAGTTCTTCTACTCCCCGAGGCCTTGTGATAACTTGGTCCAACAGGCTGTTGCTTGGAGCGGCCCGAAGGTCCAGGGGCCAGATTCACGAAAGAACTTACGCAAGTACTTACGAACGTGTACATCTTTCCTCAATCTTTGACGACTTTGGTTACATTTATTAAACAGTTTACAAGCATGAAAACTTGCCAGTCAACTGTTGTTATTGTTATAAACAGCCTCCTGGTGCTTCGGAGCTCATTAACTGTTTAATAATTGTAAACAAAGCCGCCAAATATTGAGAAAAGATGTACAGGTTCGTAGGTGTTTGCGTAAGTGCTTTCGTGAATCTGGCCCCTGATATCCACCACAGCCCGGTTGGTCCGGTCAATTCTTGCAAGAACTTATCTAAGTGCCTAAGACGTTACCAGGAACAGGCCACCACCCACACAACCACCATAACCACCACCATCGGTACAACCATATAACAAATATGCTGCATTATAATAACCATTGTCTACAACCATCTACAACCTTCTACAACCTTCTACAACCACCTACAACCATCTACAACCACCTACAACCACCTACAACCATCTACAACCACCTACAACCACCTACAACCATCTACAACCACCTACAACCACCTACAACCATCTACAACCATCTACAACCACCTACAACCATCTACAACCACCTACAACCACCTACAACCATCTACAACCACCTACAACCACCTACAACCATCTACAACCACCTACAACCATCTACAACCACCTACAACCATCTACAACCACCTACAACCACCTACAACCATCTACAACCACCTACAACCATCTACAACCACCTACAACCATCTACAACCATCTACAACCACCTACAACCACCTACAACCATCTACAACCACCTACAACCATCTACAACCACTTACAACCACCTACAACCATCTACAACATCTACAACCACCTACAACCATCTACAACCATCTACAACCACCTACAACCATCTACAACCATCTACAACCATCTACAACCACTTACAACCACCTACAACCATCTACAACCATCTACAACCATCTACAACCATCTACAACCACCTACAACCATCTACAACCATCTACAACCACCTACAACCATCTACAACCATCTACAACCACCTACAACCATCTACAACCATCTACAACCATCTACAACCACCTACAACCATCTACAACCATCTACAACCATCTACAACCATCTACAACCACCTACAACCATCTACAACCATCTACAACCACTTACAACCACCTACAACCACCTACAACCATCTACAACCATCTACAACCATCTACAACCATCTACAACCACCTACAACCATCTACAACCATCTACAACCTTCACTTTAGTTAGTTACACGCATCCTTATTTCACCTCCCTTCTGGTGCTGATACTTTTTCTCATCCTCATATCAAAGATAAGGATATCAACTATAGTAATCTGTATTCACCTAGTTGTGCTTGCGGGGGTTGAGCTCTGCTCTTTCAGCCTCTTATTAACTGTTACTAACTACTAACTATCTAGTTTTTTTCTTTTCCCCACACACACACACACACACACACACACACACACACACACACACACACACACACACACACACACACACACACGCACACACACACACACACTGTCATTGTCGAGTCATTGCTGTAAACAACCGATTGCTGGAAAGGCGGGATCCAAGAGTCAATGCTCGATCCTGCAAGCACAAATAGGTGAGTACACACACACACACACACACACACACACACACACACACACACACACACACACACACACACACACACACACACACACACACACACACCCACACACACACACACAAAACCAGGAAGCTGCCCGTAACAGCTGTCTAACTCCCAGGTACCTATTTACTGCTAGGTAACAGGGTGAAAGAAACTCTGATCATATTTGTTTCCGGCGGCGTCGGGAATCGAACTTCGTACCGCAGGATAACGTATCCAGCGTGTTGTCCACTCAGCCACCAGAGCCCCTATCACCTGTATCATATGACACTAGGAAGACCTATCATCGAAGCAGATTACACTAGGATTTTCATACGAATAGACAATATAAGAGGACACGACATATCTCCAATCTGATGTAAATCTGGTCATTTCATGCAGGTCGGCGTTCAATCCCCGACCGTCCAAGTGGCACCATTCCAACCTCACGTCCCATCCCAAATACTTATCCTGACCGCTTCTCAGTGTTATATAGTCGTAATGGCTTGGCGCTTTCCCCTTGTTAATTATCTCTACCTCTGGTCATTCAATGGACCACAGATAATAATATGTTTAATGTGGATAAATTCCAGCTCCTGGGCTGAGGACAAAAGACGAAAATACATCTGAAACCACACAAAAAACGCAGCCATTATTGAAAGAAATCGAAAACATTATTGAAAGAAACAACAATTTTAAAGATTTGGGAGTAATCATATCGGAAGACCTAACTTTTACACAATAAAGTAGCCGTCACAACTGCAAGAAAAATGACAGGATACCTACCTTGAGGCTACCTTGAGGTGCTTCCGGGGCTTAGTGTCCCCGCGGCCCGGTCGTCGACCAGGCCTCCTGCCTGGTCAAGCCTGGATAACAAGAACTTTTCAAACAAGGGCAGCCATACCTATGATACTTTACAGGACTAGTGCTCTCTAGAGCGGAATATTGTCGCACACCAACAGCCCCATTCAGAGTGGGAGAAACTGTTGACATGGAGACCGTGCAATGCTCCAAGCTCAAATCCACTCACCAAAACATCTAAATTATAAGGCGCTACTTAACAATTTTAAACCCGTATTCTCTAGTGCGCATGCGAGAGTGAAACATAATGATTACACATGGGATATATAAGAGGAGCTGGTCCCAAACCTGCACACAGAAATACCACCACATGAGACCAGGAGGCATGGCAGGATGTGCAGAATACCCCCGTTGAAGAGCAGAGGTGCAGTAGACAGCAGAAGCAGACCCACCACGATAACCCCAACACCAGCAGGAAAGGCGTACAGTAGACAAGACATTATAATTGCATAAGAAGCAGAAATAAGATCCTACTCGTCATGAGTAAGGGGGTGAGGGGAAGGGGGTTGGGGAGGGTGGTAGGGGTTGAGGGGAAGGAGTTAGGGGTCGCCAGAGTTTTTTTTCACCCCCAAACTTCTCCCCCAACACACGGCACTCCTAACCCCCACCCCTAACCCCATCCCTCCTCACCCCCCCAACCCACTAAACCTAACCTTCCCCCCCCCCTCCCAATACCCCTCCCTCGCCCCACCAACTGTTACTGCAACTCTTTAATTTTCTATTGTTTGTTTGATTTATGGTTTGGAGAGTGTGAGTGGCGGACTGTCCCAGCACCAGTCCCAACCCCGACGGACTGTCCCAACACCAGTCCCAACCCCGACGGACTGTTCCAGCACCAGTCCCAACCCCGACGGACTGTCCCAGCACCAGTCCCAACCCCGACGGACTGTCCCAGCACCAGTCCCAACCCCGGCGGACTGTCCCAGCACCAGTCCCAACCCCGACGGACTGTCCCAGCACCAGTCCCAACCCCGACGGACTGTCCCAGCACCAGTCCCAACCCCGACGGACTGTCCCAGCACCAGTCCCAACCCCGACGGACTGTCCCAACACAAGTCCCAACCCCGGCGGACTGTCCCAACACAAGTCCCAACCCCGGCGGACTGTCCCAACACAAGTCCCAACCCCGGCGGACTGTTCCAGCACCAGTCCCAACCCCGGCGGACTGTCCCAGCACCAGTCCCAACCCCGGCGGACTGTTCCAGCACCAGTCCCAACCCCGGCGGACTGTCCCAACACAAGTCCCAACCCCGGCGGACTGTCCCAACACAAGTCCCAACCCCGGCGGACTGTCCCAACACAAGTCCCAACCCCGGCGGACTGTCCCAACACAAGTCCCAATCCCGGCGGACTGTCCCAACACAAGTCCCAACCCCGGCGGACTGTCCCAACACAAGTCCCAACCCCGACGGACTGTCCCAACACAAGTCCCAACCCCGACGGACTGTCCCAACACAAGTCCCAACCCCGGCGGACTGTCCCAACACAAGTCCCAACCCCGGCGGACTGTCCCAACACAAGTCCCAACCCCGGCGGACTGTCCCAACACAAGTCCCATCCCCGGCGGACTGTCCCAGCACCAGTCCCAACCCCGGCGGACTGTCCCAGCACCAGTCCCAACCCCGACGGACTGTCCCAACACCAGTCCCAACCCCGACGGACTGTCCCAACACAAATGGCCGACAGAAGCAAGAACATGAACAATAAGAGGAAGTGGAAGAGAACAAACTGAGAGGAAGAATGAACAAATACGATGATAAATGAACAAAAAGAACTTGCCCGAGCTTTACTCACCACGTTCCTCACCACCATCAACCAGAATATAGTGAGAGCCGTGAGTGTATAGTGAGATATAGTGATGTAAGGAGGGGAAAGCCGAGTCCTCAGCGCTTATCTTGTTATCTTGAGGCTATCTGGAGACGATTTCGGGGCTTTAGCGTCCCAGCGGCCCGGTCCTCGACCAGGCCTCCATTCCCAGGAAGCAGCCCGTGACAGCTGACTAACTCCCAGGTACCTAATTTTACTGCTAGGTAACAGGGGCATCAGGGTGAAAGAAACTCCGCCCATTGTTTCTCGCCGGCGCCCGGGATCGAACCCGGGACCACAGGATCACGTGCCCAGCGTGCTGTCCGCTCGGCCGACCGGCTCCTGTACCTTACCACCATACCTCATATGGTGCTATGGTACAATAATTTACTACAACGACACAATTATATTTCTAACTTCTACCTTATGCTCGTTGTAATTTCTTCAATTTACACAAGTTACCTTTGTTTACCTATTCTATTTCCACGAAGTATTTTGTATGTAGTGATCATATTCCAAATATTCCTTCTCAATTGTTGGGAGTATATTTGTGTGTTATCAGGAAAGGGGACAGGGGGAGAGACGGGAGTGGGACAGGGGGAGAGACGGGAGTGGGACAGGGGAAGAGACGGGAGTGGGACTCGGGGAGAGACGGGAGTGGGACAGGGGGAGAGACGGGAGTGGGACAGGGGGAGAGACGGGAGTGGGACAGGGGGAGAGACGGGCGTGGGACAGGGGGAGAGACGGGAGTGGGACAGGGGGAGAGACGGGAGTGGGACAGGGGGAGAGACGGGAGTGGGACAGGGGGAGAGACGGGAGTGGGACAGGGGGAGAGACGGGAGTGGGACAGGGGGAGAGACGGGAGTGGGACAGGGGGAGAGACGGGAGTGGGACAGGGGGAGAGACGGGAGTGGGACAGGGGGAGAGACGGGAGTGGGACAGGGGGGGAGAGACGGGAGTGGGACAGGGGGGGAGAGACGGGAGTGGGACAGGGGGAGAGACGGGAGTGGGACAGGGGGAGAGACGGGAGTGGGACAGGGGGAGAGACGGGAGAGGGACAGGGGGGAGAAGGGAGTGGGACGGGGAGAGACGGGAGTGGGACAGGGGGAGAGACGGGAGTGGGGGGAGAGACGGGAGTGGGACAGAGAGAAACACGACACGACAGACGGGTAGAAGGGGGAAAGAGACAGAAGTGGATTAACAGACAGACAACCACACCGACAAATCAAGTAGCATAACCACCACCGCACGCAGCTGATAGACAGGAGTGACAAGGGTGGCAGACAAAGGGGGGGGGGACATGTGTAGTGGGGACAAGGGAGAGGAGGGGAGAAGGGGAGGAGAAGGGAAGGAAGATGAGGAGAATAGGGAGGGAGAGAGGGATAGTGGTTTGAGTTACAGGAGGACAAGGGTTGGCCAACCACTACACCCAGGCTGCACTCACACACACACACACGCACGCGCACACACACACGCATGCACAGGGCCGGTGGCTGAGCGGACAGCACGCTGGACGCGTGATCCTGTCGTCCCGGGTTTGATCCCGGGACGACAGCTCTCACAGGCTGCTTCCGAGGGTGTGTGTGTGGGGTGCGGAGAAAAAAAAATAGTAGTTAGTAACAGTTGATTGACAGTTGAGAGGCGGGCCGAAAGAGCAGAGCTGAACTATTTTGTATGGGGTGCATAATAAAGCAACAACTCAAGCAACAACAACAATAAATATAAAGGCGGGGGGGGGGGGGAGGGGGGGGGGGTTCTGGCAGCACAGTTCACTATCTTACAGTGAACTGAGACTGTTATTGTTGTTGTTATAGATTCAGCTACTCGGAACAAGTTCGAAGTAGCACGGGCTATGGTGAGCCCGTAGTGGACTTACCTGGCACAGGAGCGGTGCTCCCTGGGCGTGTTCTTCACCTCCTACAATATACCACAATCCAATACTCTTATAACCGGAGCGCGCGGGGAAAATGACCCTGGAGAGAACCTTAAGGTAACCCCCAAGAGCCAGGTAATGACCTCAGGAGTATTCGCCAGGTATGATTTGCTAGCTGAGGTAAGGAGTGATGAACAACATACCTGGAGTATACCATAGTCTTCACTCCACACCATGTCCATCATTCTAACACATTCACCACTATGGGAGCCGGTCGGCCGAGCGGACAGCACGCTGGACACGTGATCCTGTGGTCCCGGGTTCGATCCCGGGCACCGGCGAGAAACAATGGGCAGAGTTTCTTTCCCCCTATGCCCCTGTTACCCAGCAGTAAAATAGGTACCTGGGTGTTAGTCAGCTGTCACGGGCTGCTTCCTGGGGGTGGAGGCCTGGTCGAGGACCGGGCCGCGGGGACACTAAAGCCCCGAAATCATCTCAAGATAACCTCAAGATAAGATGGTCGATACACCCGGGAATATCGTGGGAATATCTCAAAGCTCTGCAAATGAACTCACTAGAAAGGAGACGAGAGAGATACCAAATAATATACACATGGAAAATACTGGAGGGCCAGGTCCCTAATCTACACAGTAAAATAACAACGTACTGGAGTGAACGACATGGAAGAAAATGCAGAATAGAACCAATGAAGAGCAGAGGTGCCATAGGCACAATCAGAGAACACTGTATAAACATCAGAGGTCCGCGGTTGTTCAACACCCTCCCAGCGAGCATAAGAAATATTGCCGGAACAACCGTGGACATCTTCAAGAGGAAACTAGATTGTTTCCTTCAAGGAGTGCCGGACCAACCGGGCTGTGGTGGGTATGTGGGGCTCGGGCCGCTCCAAGCAACAGCCTGGTGGACCAAACTCTCACAAGTCAAGCCTGGCCTCGGGCCGCTCCAAGCAACAGCCTGGTGGACCAAACTCTCACAAGTCAAGCCTGGCCACGTGCCGGGCTTGGGGAGTAGAAGAACTCCCAGGACCCCATCAAGCAGGCAACACACCGCCAGCCATCACACACACATCAGCAACACAGGGAGCAACACCCACAACACACCACGCTGCGTGCCAGAAACACAAGAGGACTGGCCAGCAATAATTACAGCGTCACAAGTCAACACCATTTGATGCTGTACAGTAAAATATTCACAATAAAACACAAAGGGATACATGCATTTATATATTTACTCTCGTTTTTGCCGATTTCCTGTGGAATTTAACCAATTAAATATTCATAGCATTTAGTGTTATAAAACAAACGAAAACGAGTTTTTTTTATAAGTACATTTTAAAAATGACAATATTTGCGTGCGCGAGTGTGCGTGCGCCAAGCATTTTAGTCTCTCTTCTTCTGTTTTTTTCTTTCACCTGCCCCTTTGTTTTAGTGCTGTTTGTATGACCCTGTTTTTAAGTATCTGTTTAATACCTGGTTGATGGGGTTCTGGGAGTTGTTCTACTCCCCAAGCCCGGCCCGAGGCCAGGCTTGACTTGTGAGAGTTTGGTCCACCAGGCTGTTGCTTGGAGCGGCCCGAGGCCAGGCTTGGCTTGTGAGAGAGTGGTCCACCAGGCTGTTGCTTGGAGCGGCCCGAGGCCAGGCTTGACTTGTGAGAGTTTGGTCCACCAGGCTGTTGCTTGGAGCGGCCCGTAAGCCCATATATTGGGTCATGGCAATCAACATGGCAGCTTATCCAAGCTTCCCATTTAGCCATTCCCTCGCCGTTCTACACAAGCTCAGCTCACAGTAAGTAATTATCAAAAGAAGGCACCAAACCGGGAAGACTATGTAGCACAATCAAATGCGCAAAATAATCAGAGGGCGCTAAATATCACCAAGGATGCCAATACGAGAACAAAAACGCATAAGGCGAACGATATCAAAAGTATCCGAGTCACCAAGAATTCTATCGAGGGACAAGTGACCGCGAGGGACGGTCGGAAAGCAAGACACACGCTCGTCCTGGAAGTCAGGACATTCAAGAAGGACATGCACGACCGTAAGAGGGACAATGCAACTAGGACAGTAAGGAGCAGGGCGGCGCTCCATCAAGTGACCATGGGTTAAGTGAGTATGGCCAATACGCAACCTCGCCAGAGCTGTTTCCCACCGCCGGTTACGGTGGAAGGAAGACGGCCACGAGGAAACACAACATTTAAGAGTACGTACCTTGTTACCAGTAACAGACAACCAAGACGCCTGCCAACGGGTAAGGACTGAGGAATGGATAACCGGGTAAAAGTCGGAATACGGAATGCCTTTACGAGAGATGGGACAAGAGCGGACAGCTTCCTTGCTGGCAGCATCCGCACGCTCATTTAAAGACACACCAATATGGCTGGGAACCCAACAAAACTCAACCGACTTAAATTTACTGTGAACAAGAAACAGCCAATGCTGGATCTCGACAACTACTGGATGAACCGGATTAAAGGACCCGAGAGCCATGAGGGCACTACGAGAGTCAACAACAACTACAAAGGAAGACTGACAACGAGAAAGCAGGAGACGAAGAGCATAGAGAATAGCATAAAGTTCCGCTGTAAAGATGCTAGTCTCCGGAGGTAAGCGACACATAAGTGCGATCAGGAAAAACAACAGAGTAGCCAACACCGTCCGCCGACTTTGACCCATCGGTGAAGACAGAAACGGAGCGGGAGTGAGAAGAAAAGTGCTCGAGGAAAAGGCGTTTTAGAACCGTAGGAGAGGTAAAAGCTTTAGTGATACGGGTCAAGGAAGTACAAAACCGCGGAAGAGGGACTCTCCACGGGGGCAAAGAAGAAACAACACGAGGAGAAACATCAGAAATACGAACGGAAAGAGAATCCTGGAGGCGAGATAACCGGACAGAAAGAGGGAGGTGGTGAAGAGGAACAGGAACCGCTGGAGGGGTAAAAGTTAAAGCACGACAGAGGCGAGAGGAAGGATGTTGTAAGGACCGCGCAAGATCACCTCACAGTAGACAAGCT